CATGAATTGAAAATATTTTTAAAAAACGTCTTTTTGTGTATTTCTTTAGTTTTCATCTAATGCTAACATTGTCTTAAAGTGTTAGCATGAAATGAAGTGTAATATATGATATGTGCTAATTTTCATAATTAGCATTTTTAAAATGTATTGCATGCTTTTAAAGTGTGTGTGTTTGTGGTTCGAGCGTATGGCGGCGCTAACCCAGATCCGGCGTAATGACATCATCACGCCGGATCTGGGTCAGCGCCAGCGCCGCCACACGCTCGCTCTGTCTGCAGTCTGCACAGCGTGCGTAAACGTGCTGATGACGTATCCTGTCTGTGCGAACCGGGTGCGCAGAGGTATGCTAATACATACGTCGACAGACAGGTAGGAAAGCATATTAAAACACTTGGACCGAGCCTTTCAACCAGCATAACAAAAAAAATTTCTGAAGACAATCACCTATTGCACCTTTAATGACAGAATTTTCATTTGTGGGTGAACTAACCCTTTAAAGAACAAAATTAGATGACTAACTTTTAAGACTAGTCTAAACCTTTTATGCAACCGGCCCCCTGTCTTTATGAATGGACCACTGAATCATTGACTCAAATGAGTAATTCAAAAACGCAAATCATTCAGTAACGAAACACTGCTGTTTTGCTCAGAGATGTGCGACTGTTCTACTTTGATGTTTGGAACTATTTTCGTTAACCAAATCGAGCAAAAAATGTAAACATTGACAATATATATTATATATATATTAACTACTTGTTTGAACTCTTGTATAAAAATCAATGTCAAATTTGCAATCGTGGTTTTCAAGGAAAACTTAACTCTCTTGGTCGTGTCATGTTGCTTAATTAGGCTATATGCTATAAATATAAAAACTAAGTTACATTTTTACCGCAGTATGTTTCTTCTGTGTGCAGTTGTGTTCATTTGTTTTGATTTCTCAACGAGATCGTTTCACATACAGACTGCGTGAGCCTCAACTGGCCCGACCTTGTTACTAGTTGATTACCTAGTTGATTAGGTTGACCTTGTTGATTATCCATTATCGATTGCCGTTTGCACCGAATGTAATAAAATCAGAAGCATTCTCTCCCAAATTTCAGTGCATCCCTAATTAGTTGTTTTAATCACATCAGTTGTCCGGTCGGGCAAGTAAAATTCTCTTTCACTCGCCCATTCAAAAAATCCACTTGTCTCATACAAGCATTAATGTTGAGCTATGTTATATAAAATTCAACCCGCCAAAGTGGCTAGTGGGAGTGACCATATTACCCGCCATTGCTGAAATCCACCCGCATTTGGCAGGTTGGCGGGTGTTCATGTCAAGCCCTGATTTTAGGTCGGAAACATAGGAAACCTAAAATCCTAAATGCCCTTGCAATTAAAACAACTAAAAAAACATACAAAAAAAAGATGAACGCAAATATAGATGTATTTGTGAAAATACCAAAAGGTTTCTTGGATGGATATGTTTAGTGTTAGAGCGGTGGCTCTCAACCCGGGAGCCAGGGCCCACTAAGGAGGCTAAGCAAAACACTAGTATTTAAAAAAATTATTATTAATATACATTTTTTTTCTCATCACCATTGAGTCATTGTTAATGAATTAAATATTTAAATACTCACAGTTTCTGTTTGGAATTGCGTTGGAGGGCCTTCAAGTAAAAACAAAATCTGGGAATAACTGAGGATAGAAAATATTATTAGATAAGAATAAAAAGCCCTTGTAATAATACTAATACCAATATGTTTGTGTTTCTTCTCTTCTCAGTCCCCTGCTCTATTAATCCCATCTGCGTCATTGACTCGACTGCCATCACGTCTGCGTCGAAGTGAAGAGAGACTAGATCAGGAGCTGGAGAAAGTCTTCACACATCACTCATCAGTTCACCACTGTGGAGTATGTCTAACACTTTTTACCATTTTAACTGATTGTGAAGGCTGATATCATGCAAAGTTGCATATTGAAACTTGCATGACTGGAAAACCTTCATGTAACTGTTTTTTTTTTAAGCTATATGAGGTTCCTGATGGCCACAGGGCTCCTGTTCCTCACCTGAGCTCCAAGAGTGGATTTCAGATTGGGTCTTCTTGTGTAGCTTCTCACTCTTCTTCTTCCTCATCCACATCTTGCTCTCCACAGCGCCCTCTAGAACTCGAAACTGGTAGGTCTCTTTTTTTTCTTTTAACTCTTGCTGATATGTCACCACCATATTATTCCTGTCAAAAACTTAACAATATATTAGGGTGACCAGACGTCCACATTTTCTGGACACAGTTTGGTTTTTGATGTCCTGTGCCTGGAAATGTACCGTTTTTTTCAGCACATTCAAAACACCCTTTAAATACCCTGCAAAAATTCCTGACCAGCATACCCTGATGGTTACCAGAGCAATCTTGTAGTGATTATTTTCACCAACAGAGAGCTGCATTCTACACTGATTACCAGAGCAGTACACTGACTACACTGGTAACCAGGCCACTGACTTACATGGGATTTTTTTCCCCATACTATGGAAGTCAATGGCTACCAGCAACTGTTTGGTTACCAACGTTCTTCAGAATATCTTCTTTTGTGTTCAACAGAAGAAAGAAACTCAGAAACATGTTTGAAGATGTTTGAGCAACTTAATGGTGAATAAATGATGACAACATTTTTGGGTGAACTATCCCTTTAGCTATATCACATAGGTGAAAGTACACCCCGATATGAATAAATAAAAAAAAGAAAAAGAAAGAAAAGGACCATTTTCACATACTGCGATGAGGCATTTCCACCATTATTAACATTGTAAATCTACCAATAGATTTTGTTTTCTAAAAATGTTACATACATTTATAATACTATACTGAGAATCTCAGATATATGAAAATGGTCCATTAGCAACAATTCAGTTTGCAGAAAGCACATACTTTATGCTCAAAATGATCTTAAACTGCAAAATAATAATCCATTTTTAAAAAAGCATTTGAAAACAACATTTGAAAAGTTAAAAAGATGTAATTGTCATCAATTATCAAGTGAGATTTCAAGTATATTTTGACTGCTGAACTAGTACATGTCCTGGGTTTCCATTTCATAAATCTGGATACCTTCCTATGTATCTTTAATTTGAACTGACTGTGATAATGCTCTGTCCTCAGTTGAAGAGGTCAACTCGTGTATTGTGATGGTGTCCTCATCACCACAGCCCAATAACAGCTACTGCTTTCAGAGAGATCCACCAGAAGGTTGTGAAAGAATCCGAGTGTGTGAAGAGAACGTGTAAGTAGGCATACCAGAGTGTTGCTATGTGGTTATGTACATTTATAAAGCTATTCTCAATCTAAGTGGTTAACTCAATATTGACATTGTGCATCTTCTGTCATCCCCCCCCCCCCAATCCTCTAATTCAGCCTTCCATGTTTGGATCACGTGTCCTCCTGTCCTGACCCCAACAAAGTGAACTTCACCACACACACAGGCTCAGCCTTCTGCCCTGTCAATCTCCCGAAGCCCCTCCTACCTCCAGTGGACTTCCTGATCTGCAGCCTCTCAGTTTCTCCAGGGTCCTGTTGGGTGGGACAGTGATGAGTTAGTAAGAAAAGAAAAACCAGTGAAATCAGCATCTGCGTGAGAGAGATTCTTTAAAAACAATCAGTTCTTTGGTGTTTAATGTTGAATTTTGCTAATCGTAATAAGAGAATACCAGATGGTACTGAATGGTACTATTAGGCAATGATTGTATTTTAGATCTGTATTTTACCACCTACTTCAAAGAAATGGCAAATGTATTATTTTTTTAATATATGTACTTTAGTTATATTTTGTTTTGATTATTGAAAAGTTTATTGAAGAAAGTATGTGGGTGGAATATTTCAGTCATAGACCATTTCAGTAGGTACTGTATATTCATGTTCTTGGATTTGAGGTGAATGTCACAGTCATGCTTTAATGGTACATTTACATTCACCCTTTTTATTTTTTTTCAAAAGTAGTGTTTTTTTTTTTTTTTGTCTAATTAATGTTTACATTGTATAACTTGAACATATGAATGTTTTTATATTTGTATAGATTAATCTGTACATGAATGTAAGATTAGTTAGCAAGTCTGTACAGTTTGCACATTTTTTCTTTTTTGCTAAAGATAAGCTATAGAATGTAAATGGTGACATTATCTGACTTTAAAATATTTCTTTATTCAATACGTTCATTGCGCACATGATGTTTGTTGTTATTTTAAGCTTTGGTTGAAATGCTTTATGTTCAAATGAGTTAGTTTGGACTACTTGCCTTCCCGTTGGAAAGTACTTGGGGATACTACATACATATTGTTTTATTCTTTTCTTTCTATAGATCACTTAAATTCTAGTATGTTTTGACACCAATAAAGTAGAATCGAGCATGACTGAATGTCTGTTCTGTCTTACTAAATTCCAAGTGGGTGATATTATGAGAAACAGCATAGTCTACTGTGATTTTGACGGTCATGATTATGAAAAGAAAATTAAGTGCTAATCTCATGTGATCAAGTAATGTGATTTATAGCCTAGTATATGCAGCAAACGAGATGTTTTTGTTTTTTTTAAATCAGTTATATCAAATGTTCAGTTTCATACCTGCTGCTCCAATTTTCATTACATGACAAGATATAATTTATTAATCATTGCCCAGCACTAGTTTTAAAACAATTGAACTTCCTAAAAATAATTTCGGATAACAGATGATTCAAATTAAACTACACATATCCCAGAGCATTTTACTAAATCATTTAGTTATATATACCACCAGCAGTTCACCAACACTGATGGTTTATTTTGGTTTGGCCACAAGAGTAGGCTATTTCAATAGTGTTACCCGCGGACGTCCTCTGTCGCTCTGTCCTTCCACAGCGCATTAGTGTCAGGCATCCCTTTACACTCCGCTCCAGAAACACACAGCAGAGCGTCCGAACACCATCAGATCTCTCATTAATCCTGTTCTCTCTCTCTCTCTCTCTCTCTCTCTCTCTCTATATATATATATATTTCGGGAGTTTGACATGCTGAGTGCCATACTGAAACAAGTGAAAAGCCACCCGGCTGTAAGTATTTCAGATCTTTTCTTGCTGATGCTTCTGTCTGTTAATAATGATGGTTCATTCATTATCAAATTATGCCTCCGAATAGTTTCAGGCGTTGGCTGTGTCGTAAATACATCCTCATCCGCTGCTTGAGGGGTATATTTAATACAAATATGTTTGATTTAAAAGGCAAACAGTATATTGAATGGCCGCAGTGGGGAGTAGGCTAAACATGGATTTCATGTTATTTCATTCACGATGAGATATTCCGGTCATTCTGTGATATGGTGAGGATATTGGCATTGATCAAATGGTTTTCAGTCTATACATTGTGTACGTGATTTCACCATATGACAACTGGCTGAGCACGTATGCCGGCTGTAGGTTATCTGTTATATATGGCTGTGTTGCAGTGTAGTGTTCAGCAGCTGTCAAGGACATTGAGGTGAAATCAATTGTGCCTCTTTTAACTCATTTACCATAACAGCTTTCTATCGAGATTTACAAGACTTAAAACCTAAAATAGTGTAGAACATATTCATAGTAGGCTAGGTATGCGAAGGAATTCGGACATTTATGTAGCCTACGTTATTTTGAAAAAGCCCTGTGTTTAATCGGACAACATTTTCATACATAGGCTACTGTGTTGTACAGTGTCTAATACGCAGCTGCAGTAGTACTGGATTTGTAATATACTCTAAATATCAAAGAAATTAGCTTTCCGCTTGTAGATGATCGGAATCAACATAAAAACCGTTGTTATTTCCCTCAAAACCTAGTGAACTGCCTACATAGACAGCATTAAAGGGGTCATTCTTGGAAACACCTTTTCCGTTTGATAAAGTGATTCTTAAAAAAAAACAAAACATTCATGTATGTGTATGTATGTATATATGTAGGCCTATATCTCAAGCTAAATCACAAAACTTTTGAGTCTCTTACAGTTTAATTTGATATTAAAAGCTTTTTAGGAAGAGAATTGAATGCTGATATTTGTAAACATGAATAGGCCTATATGATTTTTATTGAATACTATTTAACTGAATTAACAAATATGATGATAACAGGTTTGACCCCTAAGATATATTTAAGTCTTTTATTTTATGGACTGCATAACAGGGAGGTTATTGGTTTTTCAGCTTTTTTGTCATTGTTTAGCCATTTATGTATAATTCTGCGTCTCTTTGAAGTTGATTCCTCTCTTCATCTTCATCGGTGGTGGAGCGGCCATGTCTATACTTTACCTGGGCCGCCTTGCGCTAAAGAACCCTGACTGCTCGTGAGAACCCTTTTCATTACATTATCAAACAGGCAAAAATCTTTAGATTCCAATATAATTCAGAGTATATGACTGACTGAAATCTGTCAACAGATGGGATCGCAAGAACAACCCAGAGCCTTGGAACAAACTGGGGCCAAATGACCAGTACAAGGTGAAAACAACATTCATGTAGACTTTTTGGCCATTCCTGTGTCCATCTTTGTATGTCCATCTATGTTTAGCTAATATAGTCTGTTAAGCCTATAATAACCTTACAAAAAGTCCCATTTGGTACATTTTGTTAGTGTAATAATATGTAATAATATAATTTAACCCATAACCTATTTCCCACAGCTCTTCACTGTCAACATGGACTACTCTAAACTGAAGAAGGACAGGCCTGACTTCTGAGCAGAGCCCAGTGAATCAGCTGGGTGTGTTAAACGCTGCACTTTCAAGCCTAACACGTCATCAGATACCTGATCTTATCTGTGAATGTGAATCTCCATTTTAAATTATTAAAGAAACTGAAAGGGAGCACATACACAAGCTGTATGATCTAAATGTCTTGACAGGAACAATATTTTGTACAGATACAAATACTGAAACATCAAGGGAAATTGCATCATCAAACCTGTATCAATATCATCTGTGCTGATCTTACTGTTATCCAAATAAACATGACAGACAGCAATAATAGAAGTGTTTTGTGTGTGTGAAGCGTCCAGTTAGATGATTTTATGGAAGACTTTTAAAAATCCCCTATGGGAAAAATACTTCAGGAATATATAAGTATATATAAGTCTCCTAAGTAACATCGGGGCCCCACAGGGAACTGTGCTAACTTCCTTCCTTTTCACAACTTATACTGCAGACTTTAAGTATACAGTTCTGAGTCATGTCATCTGCAAAAATTCTCAGATGACAGCCATAGTAAGCTGTGTGGAAAATTGACAGTTACAGTAGAACGAAGTAGAAGGCGATTATTACAAGAGCTAAGTTTTTATTGGAGAAATTATATTGTATCATTACAGACTGCTCAAGACTGACACCTACCGCCTTTTTTTTTTTAACAAACATTTATAATTGTAATTATTAAATCCATTATTGAAACATTTTATATTTAAAAAATATTGTATATTTAGTATATGTAATTAATATAGAAATTATCAAATTAAAATAATTTAATATCAAGTGGCTTTATTGGCATAGTAAGACAAATGTATAAATATATAAAAACATTTATACAAACACACTTTTAAATGTATGTACACCTTTATAAATTTATACACATACGCAAACACAGTTTTAGTTTTTTTCAGTGTTCCATAGTTTTATTTTTGTAGTACATTGACTTTTTATTTTACATTTAGTAAGGCTTTGGTTGCAAAATATTAATAAAATATTGTTTTCCTATTTTGTTTTCTTTCCTTTAAAAGGAGCTAAATCCATTTTGACAAGATCAGAAGCATATAAACATTTCAGCACTTTCAAAATCTGTGATTAATGTGGATTAACTCTAAACAAAGCAATTCATCGTCACTAAATATTTTAATTAATTAAATCCAAAACTTTACTGATTTCATAATCATTATTCTCTTATATATACTGTATGTCTGTTCAACTTACCCATACACAAGACTGTGATCTTCTGCCAGGAACATCAGGCCAGTCTGCTGCTGTCCAGGATCAGGTGGTTTGTCTTCGTCTGGCATCTCAGCTGATACCTGTCCACTATGGGTGACCCTACCAGTAGTTGTGAAGTACCAGTGACGTAGCTCTTAGCATCACTGATGCACACAAGCCCTCACAGCACGTCGAGCTGCAAACCGTGTGAGGGACCCTAACCTACCCAAAGCCAACTGTTTAAAACCAACCGCAAATCAAACAACCACTCCAACAACCACGCATAATGCACGAAAAATGCTCAGAGGAGTCCAACAGCTGTGCAGAAAACCTTGGCAAGACCATGTCAACGCATAGCAAACCACTCAAAACATCCTTACAACCACATAGCAAAGCATTAAAAACCAGAACAACCCAGGAACCACATATCAGTACATCAACAATCACTAAAAACATCCACACAGCAATGAGCTAAATACACTACTAAACTACTAAAAGTTACACTACAAACTAAAACTTACTCTACAAATAAAACATACTCTGTAACTACATACAATATATTAAAGCAATAAGCCCCAAGAAGCCGTGGTTTACAGTGAATTTATAACAGCTAAGGGGCGTTGTTAGGTACAACGCGAAGCGGACTAAAAGCTTGGGGCTTTTATAAAACGGTTATTCCATATACGTAGTAAGGTTTCACAAAATAAAACAGAGCAAATAAAGTGTAATGATATTAATAAAAACATTATTCTTCCACCAAACAATGTAGTTCCTCAGAATCCGTTGTGGTTGCAACAAAGTGGTTGCCGAGCAACACACAAACGTAAACAAAGGTGTATGTTACTTTGTAGAGTAATTTACAACAGCTTCGAACGTGGCTCAGCCAATCAGAATCAAGGACCGGAACTATCCGTTTTATAAACAGTATTTATATACTTTGGGTTCCATGTGACACTGTGATGACTAAGTGTCTGAGCTTTCTTTTGGGCTCCTCAGGAGGTGGCTCTTCACTGTTGTCCACATGAATTCGAGAAGTGAAGCTTCTGTTGTTGGTGGAGCAGCTTTCAGTGATCAGGATACATCCATCAGGCTGCTCTTGTCTCCACCAGTGAGGGACAGTTGAGCATCTCCCACAGATGCTGTTTACAGTTTTTCTTGATTGCTAACACACTATAACTGATTCATTTTGGCCCAGTTTTCCAAATCATTCATTCAGTTTTCGTAACGTTTCTCAAAACATTAAACACATTTCACCTGTTTTCACACGTTCCAATTTGCTCAGTGTTCTCTGCAAAAATTCTATACAAAATGCCCTCATTTTCCAAAGGTTTAGCCATTTTCTCATTCAGAAAACACAAACACACAATATAATTACCTCAAGAATCACAGTATGATCTCAAATAGCACATATTTATCCATGTGTGAACATTACAGGTTTTTTCAACTGCTTACACACAAAATCTTTACTTGTCACACAATTTCTGAAACCTGACACTCAAACACCAGAACCACACACTAAATCTGCAAAACCATACACTGATTCTCAGCCTTGGACTCGGTTTTCATTTTCATAAAACACTTTTTGCAAAACACAACACACAATTCTCTATGTAACACAAAAAAATCTAACAGGAATTAATATTATGGCAAAGGTGTTTGCAAATGTTTGCTTTTGATATGTGTTTGTGATATTTTGAATCCAGTGCTTCATTTTGCAAGAGATGTGAGGCACTTTGCATTTTGTGTGTGCAATTCTTGGATTTGTGTATAAAGTTTTGAAAAAAAAAAAGAGGCAAAGTTTTGAAAATGTAAGCAGTTGAAAAAAAACAAACTGTAAGTAGAAAATAAACGTTATACTGTAATAGACATTGAGCTGTAAAATGATAACAGATTGATTGCCAAAAGAATGTTTTTGTAACAGTGTTATGAATTGATCTCACTACTGTGTAAGACTATGCTGTAGTGCGTATGTTTTATATATATATATATATATATATACAGTATATATATATATATTCCTCTTTTGTGTATGTATATTTTGGTGTCTGGGCCAGCATCACCATTTGGAACTGCTGTTGTTTGGAAATGTTGTTCATGAGTGAATCTCTGTGTTGAATGAATCTTTTAAGTGAATGAACCATTTTTGCTCTGAATCATATCTTTACGTTTACATTTACATTGTCATTTAGCAAACGCTTTTATCCAAAGCAACTTACAAATGAGGACAATAGAAGCAATCAAAACTAACAAAAGAGTAAGTGCTATGACAAGTCTCGATTAGCCTAACACAGTACACATAGCAAGGTTTTTTTTAATAATAAATCAAGATAAAACAAGTCTTTATAAAAAATAATAGAGAATGCTAATGGGTAATTTTTTAAATAAATAAAAAGAAAACACATACTGTAGATATAATAGAAAAAGAATAAAGAATGCTATGTTAGAGACTCCTTTTTCTTTTTAAAGAAAACAAGTAGTTAGAATAGAATAGAGAGCGAGTTTTAGAGGGTCAATTGTTTTTTGTTTTCTTTTTTTAATAAAAAAAAAACAAGTAGATAAAATAGAATTAGAATAGAAAGTGCTGGAGTTAGAGGGTCAAATCAAGATGGAAGAGATATGTTTTTAGCCGTTTCTTGAAGATGGCCAAGGACTCCGCTGCTCGGATTGAGTTGGGAAGGTCATTCCACCAGGAGGGAACAGTTAATGCAAAAATCAGTGAAAGTGATTTTGTACCTCTTTGGGATGGCACAATAATGTGCTGTTCACTTGCAGAATGCAAGCTTCTAGAGGGCACATAAGTCTGAAGTAGTGAATCTAGGTAAAGGGGAGCAGAGCCAGTGGTGGTTTTGTAGGCAAACATTAGTGCCTTGAATTTTATGCGAGCAGCTATAGGTAGCCAGTGCAAATTGATGAACAGAGGTGTGACATGTGTTCTTTTTGGCTCGTTAAAGAACAGAGAGATCTTGCAGCTACATTTTGGATTAGCTGTAGAGATTTGATAGAACTGGCTGGAAGACCTGCCATGAGAGCATTGTCCATAGTCCAGCCTGGACAGAACAAAGCTTGAACAAGGAGTTGTGTAGCATGTTCTGAAACAAAGGGCCTGGTCTTCCTAATGTTGTATAAAGCAAACCTGTAGGACCAGGCAGTTTTAGCAATGTGGTCTGAGAAATTCAGCTGATCATCAATCACAACTCCAAGGTTTCTGGCAGTCTTTGAAGTAGTTATGGTTTATGCGCATAGCTGGATGGTGAAATTGTGATGAAGTGATGGGTTTGTTGAAACCACAAGCAGTTCTGTCTTGGCAAGGTTGAGCTGAAGGTGATGGTCCATCATCCAGCAAGAAATGTCTGTTGATGTAAGCAGTGAAGGCATGCTGAGGTGCGAGCAGCTATCGTCAGATCATCAGGATGGAATGAGAGGTAGAGTTGAGTGTGTCATCAGCATAGCAGTGATAAGAAAAGCCATGTTTCTGAATGGCAGAACCTAGTGATGCCATGCAGACAGAGAAGAGAAGTGGTCCAAGAACTGAGCCCTGAAGCACCCCAGTAGCTAGATGTTGCGACTTGGATACCTCACCCCTCCAAGGTACCTTGAAGGACCTATCTTAGAGTTAAGACTCAAACCACTGGAGTGCGGTTCCTGAGATGCCTTTTGCCAATAGGGTTGACAGGAGGATCTGGTGGTTAACTGTATCAAACGCAGCAGACAGATCCAGCAAGATAAGTATTGAAGATTTGGAAGCGGCTCTTACGAGTCTTAGGGCTTCAACAACTCAGAGCAAGGCAGTCTCGGTAGAATGTCCACTTCTGAAACCAGACTGGTTGATGTCCAGGAGGTTGTTCTGTGTGAGAAAGGCAGAGACGTGGTTAAAAACAAATCCTTTTAGTGCTTTTGCAATGAAAGGAATAAAAAAATATTCTATTATTCTGTAGTTCTCTAAAAGAGCTGGATTAGGAGTGGGTTTCCTAAGTATGAGGATATCCGAGCCTGTTTAAATTCTGAAACAGAAACTGCTGAGCGGGGTTTACTTGATATATGATCTTTTGTTATAAAGCAGCTGAGTGTGGC